AAAAATAATAGTTCAAATAATGTAGAGAAACATTCACTTCCTACTCTTACTAGTCCGTGCTAGTGGGAGTATAGAAGTGCTTAATTTAAAAAAGGTATATGTTGTGTATAGTTTGTGGCAAGTGAATTGGTTGAGAAGAATATGTGCTCGATTTGTAAGTGTCGTATATGAAAGTGTTTAGGAGGGTTAGTCACTATTCCTAAATGTATCTTACCCGTCCCTTAGCCTATATTATAACCTTAAAGTCCTAATTGATCCTATATTTGGCTTGCTTAGATTAGTAGAGATGTACACTATGGGCAAGCTTACGGTACGACCATGGGATGCAAATGAATTCTTTGTGAGAGTGAGCAAATTTTGTTTTATTGTGTGATGTCCTTAGATTGTGTTCAAAGGCATAGTTGAATATGTGAAATATTCTATATTCACTTTTTTGTTTATTGGCGAGGGCACATAATCTCATAAATGATTGGTAATGTTATAAACTCTTGTTGGGTGAGTACGAGAGTTAAGAGTGCTTAGTGGTAACGAGTCGGTTCTTGAGGTAGGGTGGTTACGGATAGGTTGTTTGAATTGATTTAATTGAAATGTTTATACTTGGGCATCCTTAAAATAGGAAGAATGTGAAAATTGTATGTTCGTACTTGATTACTGGTATCAATCATAGTCAAGGGTAGAGTTTATGGTAGTGAAGTGCTCCTCTCTAGTTGAGATGTGTACGTTGTTGGGGTTTAGTTGGTAGTCTCATTGCTCGAGGACGAGCAATAGTCTAAATGTGGGGTGTTGATATTTAGCTTAAAGTATATATTTATATGTATATCGCCTCATATTTTACTTGTGTTTCGTGGATTTCAGATGTAAATTATATTGATTTATGTTAACTCGTGGTGTATTTATATGTAGGAATCATCCGGAGGCAATAGGGGGCGAAAGGTGCATGATTAGAGCCAAAACAGAGAAAAAATGAAAAATGTTGATTTCCAGCGCTCCAGGCCACTTGTGGTGCAATTTATAGAAACTTCAAAAGGCTAGCACCAGGGCTAGCGATCCACACTGCCCCGGGTGTGGTGACGGAAATTTCTCTGACTTTGCCTGGGACAAGATTATTTCGGTCCAAGACCTACCCAACTCGTACAAAAGCAAAAGCCTATTTTGAGAGGGGAGACGCCACTTTGAAGGAAAAATACACACGAGAACATCCGGGAGCGAGGATATCTCACTTTTCTTCCTCTTTTCTTAGTATTATCAATTATTCAACACTGTGAATTTGTTTTGATATTAACATGAGTGGCTAAAAGCCATAGTTCTGGGTTTGTGATTTAGCCATGAATATTGTCTTTAAAGTTGACTTAACCTTGATTACAATTCACCAATATGTGGTTGTTTCTTCAATTCTTTGATTAATTTCTTAATTGTCTAGTCAACGGTTAAGTTCTATTTACTATCTATGCTATGTTTAGAAAAATCATATTTAGATTAGAGGAGAAATAAAGAGAGCATGATCTTAACTTTGGAGGGGGGGGAGGGGGGGGGGGGAGGGGGGAGGGGGGAGGAGAGGATTTGTGGTTAGGATACAAATATACCTAGTCACCGTACTTAATTAAATATCGTAATCTTAATGCGTTCTTAATAGATTGATTCCATAGTAAAATAGGCGATAATCTATTTTGAATAGGCGAGTAGTACTTCAGGAGAAGGCTACGAGAGCAGTTGTTCGATTAATTAGCAATCATGAGTGAATTGTATGAAAGTGAGAGTTAATTAGAACACAATAGGATTGGTCAATCGATCACAACCCTAGAATATTCGTCTCTACTGAATACACAACAACCATTTTGCTTCTTGATAAATTAGTTACTTGTTAGAATTATTGCGTAGTATAATCACATTGTTGAACTCGAAAATACTTGACTGAATAACAATCTTAGTGAAACAGTGGGTAGTTATACAAGTCTTTGTGGGTTTGACACTCGACTTATTATTTTATTACTTGAACGACCACATATACTTAGATATAAGTTTTAGAGCAAAAAGCTTCAGAGTGTTTCATTTGATCAGACGGTAACTGTGAGTTTCTGGAAATATGAGAATAATCCCGTCATTTAGAAAAATTCACAAAATTTAACAAAGATCAGAAAATATGGAGAAGAAGAAGGCCGACAGCAGGGGAGGTAGTCGACGACCAAGAATAGAACAAAAGGGGCGATTCTAAAAAAAAAAATTATAAAGAGAGATTTTTTTTTTTTAATTTCCATGTAGCACATATTGATTCGCCTTATTGCCATGTCATAGCGTGAATGACGTGTTTGATTTTGCTAGAGAATTTCAGTTAGGTGTCTAATACAGTAATAGGCATACATCGAATTGGGTTTAGGTGTTCAATTGGAATAACCCTTAATTCAGGTGCCTAAATGAAAAAATTGGGCTAATTTAAAGGTCCGCATAGCTATTCAGCCAATTTATGTAAGATGTAACGCTAAAAGATATTTGAAAGAAGACTTAGCTAGATGATATGGTATGAGTCAAAAGCTATGCAATAATTTAAGGAAACGACAAATAAAGGAGAATTCTTTTTCAAAGCCATGTGAATAATAGGGCCCAATAAATTCACCCAATATATATATCATGTTGCGTGAATTTATGTATATATATATATCCGGGGATTTGTATCTATACCCGCTTTTTGGATCATGTTTTAATTTGTGTCGCTTTGTAAGAAAATTACAAGCGTACTCACTTTTTCGCGTAACTTTAGCATACGGGGCTGAAGTAGCAAATACAATCACGCAAAACTTCAGCATTCTAGTAGACGGACAAAACTTCACGCTGAAGTTTTTTTGTCCTCGATAAGATGCTAAAGTTATTTAGTTCATTTGTAAAAATTTCAGCACTAAAATAGCTTAAGATTTTTTGTCCTGGATTCATTAGTTTTGTCATAAAGTTTTTTCAAAAACTTCAGCAGAAGATGCTGAAGTTATTTAGTTCATTTGTAAAAATTTCAGCACTAAAATAGCTTAAGATTTTTTGTCCTGGATTCATTAGTTTTGTCATAAAGTTTTTTCAAAAACTTCAGCAGAAGATGCTGAAGTTATTTAGTTCATTTGTACAAAAGTTAGCCTAAAATAAGCTGAAGTTTTTTTTTGTCCTGGATAAGCTTTTTCAAATATTTTAGCAGAAAATGCTTATTTATTTCATTTGTAAAAACTTCAGCACTATATAAGCTGATTTGTTTATTGAATTTAGGTTCTCTCCCCTTTTACACTGACCTTCCAAGAACCAAAACCAGGAACTAAATACAGTGCAAATTGTTGCAAAACACAAAGCACATGAACAATCTCATCCAAAAACCAGTAAACTACTACAACGTACGCTTGCTCCCAAATCTGAAACAGTTTCTGCTCTTTATGAAAGTTTCTGCTGTTCATGAAAGATAGAGATCGAGTATTTAGATCAATGTCTTCCAAACTTTTTTTCACATTGTTAAAATTTATGTATACCCATACACGAAGAAGTCTTCACATTCTTTTATGTGATTTATAGTTTATTGTCTACTAACTTACGTAATTATTTATAATTTATTTTTAAATAATCTGATAAATATACTCATGACAATCATCCCATGAACTGAAGCTTTATAGCAGCACCAACAACAGCAAAAGAAAGAAAGAAGAAGAAGAAGAAGAAGAAGAAGAAGAAGAAGAAGAAGAAGAAGAAGAAGAAGAAGAAGAAGAAAAACGAAGGAGGGGAAGGAGGAGGAGAAAAGAGGCTAAAGTTGTTTAAAACGTGGGTACAAGTTAAAACTTTTTAAAAAAATGGGTATAGGTTAAATGGGGCGACCAAATAGGACGCACCGTGCAACTTTTACTATATATCCTTGACGCTCACGGGCGATGGAAGTCAGCGGATTCACAAAGTTTTACATTATCCTAGGGGTGTTCATGGTTCGGTTTGGATCACTTTTTCCCTAAAAAGAAACCAAACCAAGTAAGTCGGTTTTTCAAATTTTAGAACCAAACCAAACCAATTAAGTCGATTTTTTCTCGATTCGGTTTATGTCAGGTTTTGTTGGTTTTTCGATTTTTTCGGTTATTTGTCGGTTTTTTCTTAAATATAAGACATACACTACCAAACATATATTCCTGCGACCACATTTTCAACGTAACACTATCAAATCAATTGCCCTTTAAAAAATCTATTATTTACTAAAATATATTGATGATCATTGAATAAAATAGTAATGAATAATTTAAGGACTCAATTAAAAATATATGTTTTTTAACATGAAATGGATTCTTACACTTAACAAAAGAAAACTACCAATCAAATTAGAATATAAAAGTAAAGAAATGTACTAAAAGTGCAAACGATTAACATTCGCCATAAATTTTTTGAAACTTTGTATAAAAATATACATATATAGGTGTAATAATAATTTTGAAATAGCTATTCCTACAGTCGGTTTGATTCGATTTTTTCAATATTTTTTATTAAAACTAAAACCAAACCAAATTTGATCGATTTTGTAAAATTCGAAATCAAAAAAACAAAAAAATATCGATTTTTTTGGTCGTTGGTTCGGTTTTTATTACTCACTTTACTTGAGCCGAATATTCAACAGCGCAAAGCAAGAAGTTCAATCCAAAGGGTTAAAGACCAATCAATTACCATCTGAAGAAGTTGGAATCATTCACCAAAATAAATCTAGTTTTGTTTTTACTTTTATGACCAGGCAAGAAACCGAAAAGAACTCTTTTTATTTTATTTTATATATATAATAAAATCGAAAAGAACTCTAGATAACGTAAAGTGGTGAACACATTCAATGCAAGTACTTTTATTTATTGCATGCATGCGGAGGCGGATCTAGAAATTCGGGACGATGGGTGCACCATTACTTTCAAGATTAATATTTAGTTTGATAATATAAAATTTTACAATCACAACAACTTACCGAGCAAAAAAATAATTAGTTAATTATCACAAAAACAAATATTATCAATTTACAATTGTACGCGACGAGTTTTCATACTTTGAAAACGATCAATAATAGCATCATTACTTACAGTTGCAAATACCTTACGCTCTATATTGCAAACTAAACAACCATTCAAAAACTCTTCACTAATGCTATTACGTAGATCACTTTTTATGAGCTTCATTGAGGAGAATGCCCTTTCCACGCTTGCAGAAGCAACACGTAGAATCAAAGTCAACTTCACAAGTAAATAAATATGACACCAAGTTTGATCCAATTTCGTCTCTGCCAACACTATAGCAAGATCCTTCATTCCCTTCAAGTTGATAAATTTGCTATGAGGCATTCGAGCATAGACAATGAAACTATCAAGCTGAAAGCTGAGATCTCGAAGCTTGTTATCATCAAACTCATTTGGATAATACTCGGCCAACTTCATTATTCTGTCTTTGTCATAATTAGCAAATGAATCAATCGGATTGAAACAAGCTATACCAAGGAGTAAGTCACTAGTCACTACATCAAAACGACTATTTAACTCATGAAGGTGCAAATCAATAGCTGCATAAAATATTTCCACACTAAAGTGATGTGAATATGAAACTCCCGACCTCTTTCTTTTCGATCTTGGATAGTCTTCATCCATTTTGGGGATCATAATATCATGTTTACCACAGAACGAGTAAACTTCATTCATTAAGAACTCGAGTTCACTTTCTCTCATAGTCTGCAATCTTATCTTTGCAAGGTCAAGCAACCTCATAGCATTGACTATGTCTTGATCTTTCTTTTGTAAAGCTTTGTTCAATTCATTTGTAAAAAGCAACATCTTGAAAAACAAGTGCAATAAAAACACAAACTCAAATTCTTGAATATTACCCAAAAGATTTTTTGGTGCAAATCTATCAAGAGAAAGAAGACTATCTTGTTGCATATCATTAAGCACGTTAACAATCGAAGAAAATATAATCAAGAAATTTTCCAAGGTCTTAAAATGCGAACCCCAACGGGTATCACCCGGTCGTTGGAGCCCACGTTCTTGATTCAATCCTTGGCTGGTAAGTATTTCTCCAGACTTAAGTAATTCTTCCAACTTCTCTACTTGGTATTGTCGAAGTATTTCCCTGCGTTTAAAAGATGCTCCAATAGTATTCAATGTGTTAGTGACAACATCAAAAAAATTATTCACATCCGGATGCTTTTTAGAAAGAGCTACAAGTGTTAATTGCAACTGATGGGCAAAACAATGAACACAATAGGCAGATGGAACATCTTGTAAAATCAAAGACTTTAGGCCATTTATTCTTCCTTGCATATTACTAGCTCCACCGTAACCTTGTCCACGTAGCTTGGATGAGCTTAACGAGTGATCCAAAAGCAAATCATAAATTGTTTTCTGTAATGATAGTGCAGATGTATCATTCACATGGACAATACCCAAAAAGCGCTCAATCACCTCCTCTCTTTTCTTAACATATCGTATAACAAGGGCCATTTGCTCTTTATGTGAGATGTCATTTGATTCATCAACCAATATCCCAAAAAAGTCATCATCCAAATCTTGGATAATAGCTTTAATTGTTTCTTTAGCACAAGCATCCACAATATCCTTTTGAATTGCTGGACAAATCATCATATCATTGTTTGTAGCTTTATGTAATATTACCTTTCCCACATCTAAATGCTTATCCCCATGAAATTCCAAAAGTTCAAGAAAAAGACCTTTGTATTTGGAATCTTCACTTTCATTATGACCACGAAATGACAATCCATTTCTCAAGAGAAATCTTACCACATCAACCAAGTCATTTAAACGTATCCGATGATTACTTTTTACTTTCTCACTTTGCTTGTGAAAAGAAGTTTGACTCGATTGTTTTTGATTTATCAAATCTTGCATCCTATTAAAATGTTTGTGATGGATACTACTTACTTCCCCGAAATGCGTTCTAAGTCTTTCCGTACCCTTGCTCCAACCCTTAAAACTATTTTTTGTAAATGCATCTCCCGCATTACCGCGACTTTCAAGTTCATTCTTAAATAAATAACAACACAAACAAAATGCAGCATCACTTTTTATGCTATATTCCAACCATTGAGAATATGGACCCTTAAACCAATCGGGATTAAATTGACGCATTTTGTTCCCAAATTTAGTTTTAGGGAAAGCATGGCCACTCGGTTGACAAGCCCCTTTTTGAATATAATGTCGCCTCACTTCATCTCGGATATTAGGGGCATACTGAAGAATCGGTATTCTTTCTTTGGGATTGGATTGGGAGATCCTAGCTCAAGAACACTATCAACATTTGAAGGAGGGGATAAGATTGTCCCCCTTTGGATTTCAGGAGCTATATTCGAACTAACAGAAGGCCGACTACTACTATTGGAACTTGATTGGCTAATGTTTGACCTGATCACAAATTTATCCATTTTGATGTTCCTACAAATTCAAATATCTCCCATCATCAAAATTCAAATTCATAATAAAACTAAGGGAATCACACTTTTAAATTCATAATAAACAAGAGGAATCACACCCCTTCGGTATTCAAGAAAATAAGGGAATCACACCCTTTCAAACATAATAAAATAGAGGAATCACACCCCTTTCAAGTTCAATTAAAATAAAATGAAAACTTACCAGTTCTTCTGCAATTTTTGATAATTTTATCTTTGAGATCAAATGGAAATGCTTGCCCACTGCTGCGTTAAGTTCCTACAGAGAAGGCTTCCATCAGTTAATTCTTGGTGACAGTGAGTACATCATGCAAATCAAGCAGTCCAATCTACTGAGTCGACTATTTTAAACTACAATTCTAAGGCATTTGTTCTTTGTCCTTAGTTTATTCATGCGATGCATGTTATTCTGAACCAGCAGCGGGAAAGGTTGTGGTTCCTACTCTGCACGATGGGCAAATTTTTGAATCTACATTTACTTCTTTTTGTTTGAATATGTTAACCAACACCTTGACAAATGCTAAACTGTCTGATTTCCGGTTACTACAATCGAAGTGGGCTGGTAATTCAATATCAAATTATCAATCAAAAAGGATTAGCTCAAGAAAAGTTATCAAAATAAATCTAAATCAGAAAAAATCTCCTTCATTCCGTAATTACAGAAAAAATAATCCCAAAATCGGAATAAACCTACAAGAAAACTTATTAACTAGTTTAGAAAAAGATTGGACCTTACCTTGGAGGGATTGGAAAATAGCATTGCACAAGCAGTTAGAGAGTAAATGGAGCCAAGATATCAAGATTAGCTTTAGCTTTTAGAACAAGAAACAAGAACAAATCAAAATAGGAACTAGGGTTTTGCTTCTTCTTTTTAACGTGTGACCTTTTGGCTTTTGGGATAAATTGAGATTAGGAATTAGGGAATAATTTTGATATTTGGGAATTGGGGAACCGTGTGGATTGTCATCTCTGTGTAGAAGTTGGGCACTGATATATCTAATAGGATATATGAAAGGCTGCGTTAGAATAAATAAATAGAAAGAGAAAAAAAAAGATTTAAGAAAAACAAATAAAATAACCAAAAGCCAAGCAGGGATTTGATCCCTTGCCCTTAGGCTTTTAGGAATAAGAAGGCAAAACCAACGCACCACTTCACCCTTTTTGACCATAGGTGCTAGCAAATATATATAACTACTTTTTTGTAAATTATGTACATCATATACGTATTTTAGCCGAGGGACCATGGGTTCACGTGAACCACATTTTTCACAGTAAATCCGCCGCTGCATGCATGAGATTCAATAAAGCATACAAATTTCTTTGAAACTCCTAAAAGAGTAAATATATTTGGACCATACGTTACAATGTCAAAGACCTATTTTTGAACCACTACTTTTCTCATATAAACTTAACAAAGCATTATTAATATGAACAAATCTGTTTCACAGACATAGTTTGACAAATAAAATTACGTAAGCAAACTTAATTTTGTCGCTATATCGAGTTATTGAGTTGTTTGTATTTTGTGCCCTAATGTATGCACAAATTATACTCTAGAAATGGCGGTCACATAATTTTTTATTGATTCTATTTTATACAAAACGTATTTGCAAGAAATATATTCCGAAAAGAATGTGTCATAAGCAAATTGCCGCAGTGTTGCAAATTTGCATTTTTGTCTTAGTTTTATTTTTCAAGACATTGGTAGACTGTAGAACTCCTGAAAAAGATAGAGAGTTATTTTGTTATCTACATTGTCTGGAAGACTTTATGGTTGTTAGATGGGAACAATTTAAGGATCTTACTCATGAACAAATTAATGAAAAATGCAAAACGGGTGAAAGATATTTACCATGTCCAGATGTTGGACAGTACTGACCTTATCTCAAATCACAAAATCACAGTTATTGAAACCTATATTATTTACATTATGCATTTTATCTGTGTGTAATGTCTCGTTATATATAGTTATAAGTGATGGACAATGTTAGTTGAGTGCCCGTATGGATTACTAAAGAACTTGGTTCTTTATCGTGTTCCTTAAGTGTAAAGTAAACAAGCAACAAAATGAATATAACGATTTTTACGTAGAAAATCACCCGGCTCAAAACGTGCAAAAATCACGGCCTACCACGTAGGATTTTCAATTCCAACTCTACTAGAACAATGAACCAAAATGTATCAATTACAAGACTGTAATTAAATACTCTCTAGTACTCCTACTACTCCTATTTGATTCACAAATTACTCTAACTTGTGTGAAACAAAATACTCACTCCGACTCATTAATCGTTTATGACACTTGATTACAAGTCAATTTCCTAAAACACATTCACTAGACTGACTCAGGAAGAATCCAAGGCAAGTACTCAGCACAAGTAAATGACTTATGACTCTTTAGTTGATGTGTAAAAGGACAGTTCAGAAGTCCAAAATCGATCCTTTTTAAAACATAACTTGAGATCTTCTAGGAGTCCTATTCATAGTCAGCTTCCTCTTTGATAGGACTCCTACTGCTCCATGGATTCAACAAGCTTTGGAACTTTTATCTCTGACTGAATTATCCGTATCTTCTATAGCAAGGACCCTTATCACTTAGCAGACATCTTTCACCAAATTCGGTCCTGGGTAACTCTGAGATAATGTTACTGTCTTGTACAAACATACAAGTATCACTCATGAGGAGCTGATTCTTTCTCCTGAGGAGCTGGTTCTTCAGAACAGTTAAGCAGCTACGTTGAGGACATAGTTATTTGAACATTTAGCCATACTTTGTTAATCATCAAAACTTCAATACTCAACAAATTTTCCCTTTTTGACGATGACAAACTTTGTACACAACAGAACCATGTAATCACAACAAGTACTATTGACAGACATGTATGTTCACAACCCACAAGCTTCCAACATTATCTTACCCCTTTTGGCATCATCTATAACACACAAAAAAGGCAAATAGACTAGTTTGATGATCCAATATAGTACAAAGCAGTAAAACAGAGCAATATGAGACATTAAGTAGTGCCAAAAGAAGCCCATGGCCTTGCCTTTATCATTAGAAAAAGTAAAGCTAAGCATACTACAAACTACTCAAACTAAGACCAAAAAAAACCAAAATATAAGGCATTACTAGAATAGCAAAAGAACTAAGGGCATTAGGAAGGAACATGTTCATGGGTGAAAAGTAGAGGGGTCAAAGCTTTCACAATGATGGAAATTTATTGAGCACGAGCCTCCCTATCTCTTCTGAGCTCTTCCCTGAGTTGCTTTATTTCTTTTCTCAGCTCAATACTATCTTCATGAAGCTTGACATTCTCTTCAACACCAAATTCCAACCTCTTGCTGAGATCTGAAGCCCTACTGCTCCTAGGTAGAATAGCTGATCCTGTGGGTCCTCTAACCTTGATCTCCTCATATTCACACTGCTTGAAGTTAACATCATCCAAAACGTCATTGTGGTTTCCAAACCTAAGCTTAGGTAAGGCAATGTTGAGTTTGTCAAACAACTCAGTCAACATGAAACATATGGCATACCATGCTTGGGTTTGGAAGTATCTGCAACTCTTGCCATATGCTGAATGATCAGGTTAGGAATATTGATAGGTCTACCAGTTTCAAGCAGCTCCATCACAACCATATCCAGCAGAGTAGCTTCATGCCTTCTCTCAAAACTCTGAAGAATGCAGGAATTGACAAAATGAAACAATAATTTGTGGAAGGGAGTCATATTAGTCTTGTACACTTCCTAGGAAGCATCTAGTTCAAACTTTTAGGAGAACTTTCTGGTGACCACAATGCTAGTGTCAACATCATTTTCTATGCCTGACCACTTCTTCGTTAAGTAATTGTCAAATCCCAAAGAAGAGATATTCAGAAGAATCCCCAGCTCCTCAGTAGAAAACTCCATGTCAAAGCCCACAACCTTACTCCTGACTACCTTCCCATCAAATGTGAAATTTCCATAAAACTCCACTACAACAGGAACACATACAAGGGGAAAGCTTTGACAAACATGTGCTTCCACCCCTGTTGCTCAAGTTTTTCAACCAGTTGAGCCATACCCTTCTCATTAGTGTTCGCAAGCAATTTACCATTTCGCACTTTTCTCTTCCTGAACTTTGTGAGTCGATCAACTGTAGCTGGCACATTCTTTTTTGTCTTACGCCTACTGGCCCTTGTACAAGAGGTAGTAGGTTTGGTGACTTTGGCACCCTTTTCCTTTGGTGTAGCAGACTTTGCTGGCAAGGCGGAGTCAGAATCATCTTCTCCATCCACCTCAATAACATGTTCCACAATTAAAACCTTCTTCTTTGGCTTCTTTGCACTTCTAGATTCCTTAATGATTTATGCATCAACAACCTTTCTTTTACTCCTTGTAAGAGGAGTTTTTGCGGGAGGAACTACTTCTTTCCTTGTTGAGACTGCTGACTTTGTATCTTTCATAGGGCTCTTCCTGCATTTCTTCCCTACCTCAGATAATGGCACATCATCTTCATTACTGCTAACTTCTTCATCTCTAGTGTAATGAGTTAACAGAGACCCAGGTTCTTGGGCCCTTGTCTCTTCACCAGTTTCTTCTGAAAGGGTTGTGACAGTGTTTCCAATTATCTTGCAGATTCCTCACTCACATTCTCTTCTTCTTCCTCACTCTCTTCATCACCTCCTTCACTCTTACTTACT